TAGTGTAAATAATGTTTGTTTTGGCAGTTATAACTGAATGTAATGTTTTCTACTTTTTTACATCTGGGAAGGCATTTGCCTTCATCAGATGGAACGTGTCTTGATCAACAACTAAAGTGTTTCTTATAGCTATGCAGGGCATGCAAGCGAGCAAACACAAACAAGAACAAACAAGTGAAATGAAGAATAAAATTGAAATATATTGTGGTGGTTCATCTTATAATTCAGTCTAGAGAATGCACCAGACAGCATCTAAGACCTGCAAAAATCAAAATGTTCTAGGGGGAGGCACCCCAAGCCATTTTTCAGGGCAATCTCTATTGGGCTCAGGGCCATCTGTAAATTAGCTTAGATGGCCCACAGGGTCATCTCCCAAAATCCTTAATGTCATGCACTGCAGTCACAATGAAGAAGCAGTGACAGGTGCTGCAAAAGCTACATTCAGAGCAGAAACAACTGCTCTGCAACAGCAACAAGCTATTCATCTTTGTCCCCTCATGATGCTGACTGCAGCTTTGCTATAAGCTTAGGATACTTTAACTACCCTATTGATTTTCCTATAAAAAAAGCAGTGCTCAAGTGCCTGCAATGCCACCAGGAGCACAGTAACCATAAAACAGCACATCACAAGGCATACAACTGATTGTCACAAGTTGCAACTGAGAGCACAATATATGACCGTGAAGTTTTTCCCTAGGCTTTTATAATAAACTTTAAAGAACAGAATATACTGTCAACTAAGAGTTCAAGGTGTAACACATGAACCCTAACAATTGTTCTCATGTGTAGGGAAGACATACATCTTAGTGTGAAGTCATCGGGCAGACCCTAGCCATCCCTGAAAAGGTGCTGCTTTGTGTGGACCTGGACCTTGTTGCAGGCTACCATCTCCCTGGTTCCCATGGAAACACACACAAACACAGACGGCCCCTTATGCCATCCAGACTTAAAAGCACTTGTGTACTGACTCTGTTGTTACTGCTGGCAGCAAGACGATCGAAGTCTGGAGGCAGCAGAAGGTTTTGTAACCGGTAGCGTGACTTTGGCACACTTGCAGCTAACAGAAGCATACACAAGTAGAGCCTGTCTGTTTCTCTTGACTCATCTGTATTCTGCTCGTACCGTCAGGTCATATGCTTGTGGAAAATGACTCACTTTGTAAAACTGGGAGAAGCTGAATGAAAACAGAAGCAAAATCGTAGTGATTCAATGAGAATCATGCACATTAAGAACAATGAAAGTAACACAAGACAATTACCTAAGCAGGGTTTCCCACACAGACTTTACATGGACGGGCCGCCCAGGTATATTAACGGCCGCCCAAGTATATTTCGCGACCCATTTAGTTTTTTTTATTAATATAATTTTTTTCTCATGACCACGATGCCATCTGCGATCGATTAACTTGTGGACAATCCAATCCATTTATTTATTTCAATGATCACTCGCTCTACGCTCAGGTGAGGTGAAGGACTCTGAGTGTTTAGATAGTTAACTTAGTCTAAGTTCTCAGTGGGTCTCAAACGGTTTGGTCACCATTTATTTAAACACATATTTCCATTTGAGGGGGTAGTGATTAGTAAAATATGCATGAATAAATAAATAAAAAGTTAACTAGGTGAAAAAAGGAAAGATACACTTTTAAAACTTGTTGAGAGCTAAAACTAGTCTTTGCTGCTGCCTCACAGAGGAGCAGGAGGAGAGGAGGGAGACAGGAGAGGCTGGTTCAGGAGCACAGACACACTCACAACTATAAATGAACCAAAAATAAATAAATAAACAACTTTCAGTGTTTTTTCATATTAGAAATGGGATGTTATTGGTTATGGCCATGTTCTTATGATTTTTGAAATGTATACAATTCTGTTTCATAAAGGTGTTCCCATAGATCTCTCTTTATTTGCCCCTCAAAGTGCACCAGATTGATGCATTTAACTCCAAAATAAATAAATAAATCTTACCGGGGGGGCATGCCCCCAGACCCCCCTAGAGGATTTGAGGTCCACCCCCACTAAAAATCACATTGATAGGTTCCTAAATACATTTACCAATTTTTTTTTTTTAAATAGTAACCCATGTCCATATGGTTATTTGTGGATAGTAGATTTAAACTATAGAGCTATCACTGTACCTGTTCGCTCTGCCATCACGTGAAGGGTCTGCTAACAAGCGACCAACAGAAAGGTTAATGTTGTTGCACGTCACCTCAACCCCCCCTAGTATATTTCAGATCTGTGGGAAACACTGCTAAGTTATGAGAGGATCCCTGAATCAATCAGACCGTGCTGCAATTAATAAGGATGGAACTCAGTTTGTAAGAGGATAGAGCTGCAAATTATCTTCATTGACGTTGTATCCGTTGTTTGTTTTCTTGATTAATTGCTTTGTTGTTTGTTCTATATAAAGTTATAAATACGGTGAAAAATGTCAGTCAGCGCTTCCTGAAAGCCAAGATTAGGTACTCCAATGTCTATTTTTTCCAGGACTTGAAAAATTGGTACAAAGAAACAAACCAGGAGTTGCAGAATTTTACACTTTTCTTCTTCAAAAACTACTTGAAGTGATTCATCTTTTATCAAAAAAAGTGAGCAATTAATTTAATAGTCATATAAAAAAAAAGATCTTTAGAATTCTTAGTTCAAATACTACAAACAATGTCCCTTTGTGGCAGAGTAATACTTGTTCTAGCTATCACAGCACATAAATACATCAGATGTAGGGTTTCATATCCCTTTAGCCATGTGACGTGTGGATGTTAGACAGACATGGGTGGACTCTGGGAAATGGCAGAAGCTATTGCTCATGTGTGCAAAACAATATCTAATCTGCTGCAGCGTGATGAGGGTCAAGGGTTGATCCTCATACTCACAAAGTCATTATACGATGCTTATTTGCAATCGAGAGCAATAGAAACTGACAATGACAAACGTCACGCCCTCATAGATGAGCACAACGTAAAGTGTTGCCATAGCAATGTGACAACCGTAGCTATAAACACCACAGGTAGAAAAGCTGCAAGATCATCAAAGTATCTCCAAACTGGGAACGTCAGCTACTTTGAATGAGTATCAGTGTTGTCTTTTTACAGACACAGCAGCAACTCATGATCTCGAAGTTCAATTAGTCAGCTTTCACATGGCGGCGCCCTAACAGATCTGACACCGCTGTGTGTGGAGAGCACACACAGTTCGTTATCAGCTGTTCCCAGAGGCCCTGCTCCAAGAAGTGTGTCTATGGCAACCTGCATGTCTGCCATTGTCTCACATGACTGTGTTTAACGCAGCACAGTGAGAACAACGGCCGCAATAATAGATGTGGACATGGCAGATGTTGGCACGCAACACAGTGCCATGCAAGGGACCAAAGAGAAACACACAAAAGGCTTTCCTACACACGATAAAAAGAAACTTCAAGCTACACAGGCCAAGGAGGGAGGGAGGGAGGGAGGGAGGGGGAAGAGTTTGCCACATGTGTAAACCTTTCAGGATGATGTAACCTCTCCTGTAGGCTGAGGGGTAGTTTGGAGAAATGGTGCTGAGCCAGTTGGAGTCCATTTATTCTGCAGCTTCAGCAAAGGGCCTGCAAAGCTGCTCAGCCTCGTGAAGTCCCTTACTACAAAGCCCTGCATTAAAGAGAGCACTAGGAACAAAACAAGTGAGTTTTCTACTGAATCTAACAAAACAAGAGGACTCATTTAAGGCAACCAAAGTGCAAAACTTGTAACCCAGAGTGAGTTTGCACCAGGTTACAAATGCCTGTTTCCATTTGCAGATAATTATTGTTTTAATTAGACTTTCCACAAGTATTTTATTCTCATCTGTGTCTTTCACAAGTGTGATTGTATTTCTCAACTGTCACCATTAAAGAGTTCACTCTCTGGGTCAGTGACACACCGCTTCAACACGCCCTCTCCCAGCCAAGACCCCATAAGTCCCTGCCTGTCCCAGCCACATGCTCCCCCTTTTTCCTTCACTCTGCCATTTTCCCGCCCTATGACGCTGAGCTGAAGAAAAGGAAAAACAGCCGTACACAACCCTCCACCATCCCTCACCAGTAGATGCAGATGTATAAGCCATGGAAAAAGTGTGGTTAAGTTAATTGAAATTACTGATAGCTTCATACAAATGGTTAATGATGTTGTGATGTGTTGCCTGGGGAAAGGCCCTTTGGAAGCCCATTTTTCCCTATTTCTCATTCCCTGGCAAATTATGGAAAATGTAAATGTGATACAATATTTGTAAATCAAGAAACAAACAGACATAAAACAAGCATTATCAAAAGCTCCTTGATAAATTATCATAATCTAAATGTAAAAGCAGCATAAACAGTTGTTACATTAAATAACAACCAGTGTCAGAAACAAACACCACTGATGACACATGCCTGCAACCTAGTCCAACAGTAAAAAAAATAGCACACACCTATCTTTCATACTGTTGCCTTAACAGTGAGATAACCTTGGATAACTTTGAATAACCAAAGTAGTCTATTTTACACAGATCTCTGATGGCAGACAGTGTTTCCCAAAACAACTAACGACATATTCAATGACCCTAGTAACCATGAATAGATTATATGCACGTCCAACACAATCCATCACTATAATAATCTAAGTGTTAAGCATGAATTTCCACTGCATGTTACGGTGTTTAATCTGCTGTTACGGAGCTTTTGTGAAAGGATTAGCGCCGTGTTGTCAGCATGGCAGCATTTTCCCCACGATGGGAGGAAAGCTGCATCCGCTCTGCCTGTGACACATGGCCACGGAGGGTTGTGGATAAATACAATTAAACTCAATGCGACATATTGTTCTAGCGTTAGTGCCACATGTAGCAAACGTCGTAAATGAATTAGCAACGTATAGCTAGTTTAAGAGGATTTAGCCACGTAAAACCAGTAATAGTGCGCAGAATACAGCTCTCATCACAATGCACTGATGTGTGTTTATCAAAGTCACTCAAAATGAAAAACTTCTCGAAGAGACGTGTGCTCGGTCTTACCTTCACAAACAGCTCGATAACGGGCTCGTCGTCTGACTTTACTCCGTTCTGCGGTACCGACAGCGACATTATGGTGCTTCTTTCGGAAGTTTTTGCTAACAAAGATGAGTTTTTTCTTGCTACCACGCCCGACTTAGCTCAGTCCTGTTGTCCACCTCTTCTTTCTTTTTTTCCGCACTGGAGCCCAAGTAGGCGCGTTTTCTCCCCGAGGAGGACCCGGTGCTGGGAACACAAGAGTCTGTTAAGCCAAACGGACGAGGAGGCAGTGGTGAAAGCCAGATACACAACTATTTTTAATATTACGGTATGACTTTAATCACGCTGGGCTACAAACACATCGTAGAGGCGCGCGGCTATGCTGGAGTGTGATGAGGAGGCGGGAGGGAAGAAGAAGCAACGGGAATATTTAAAGCGGTGATGTCATCCGAGGCGCTCACACAGACAAGTGGGAGGGTCTGAGGGTTCTTGTTGGGAGGAGATGTAGAGCAGAAAACTGAGACCACTGCTCTCTGGTTTTATTATTTATAGCTATGTGTTTGAGTAAAATGATTTTTTTTTTTTAAATGTTATTCTAAAACCAACTGACAACCTGTGTTGGAATTCAACAGACACTGTGGAATGTCTGCCACACATGTAGAAATTGAGATTTAAGAAAAGTTTGCAGTGGTCACTTAATTTTTCCAGAACTGTCTTTTGTCAAGAAATACAAACGTTTTTATTTTCCAACAACCACTAACTTCCCCGTGGGGTTTTCCATTTAATGTACGTATTTATTGGAATGGTTCGAATGGAAAAAATAAAGTTATTTATTTTCCGTATATATTTGTGGGCGCTCGAGGGAATTAACTTTAAACTGGTGTTGCATTATTTTTGGTAGATCAGTTATTTTAACAAATGTTTATTTGTAATGTCTCTACTTGAATTTGCATTTTTACGTGCCCTATTTTTAACTTACTTAAAGGTGGAGTAGGTACATTTGAGAAACCGGCTCGAGATACACTTTTTGTTATATTCCATGGAATGCTCTTAACATCCCGATAGCAATGAATATCTGAAGTGCTTTGACAAAAAATCCATTAAAAAAAGTCATCTGTGGAAGCAGTAGTACTGTAAAAAGCACGACCAATCATCTGAGCCGGCCCGGCTAAAGTAACTGGATGGCCTACCTGCCTGTCAGCCTTCAATCTGTGCACAAACTTATCTCGTGCCCTCATTGGTCATGTGCGCGTTCGTGTGTTGAAGGAGGGGCTCTGTAAGGAAGTGGCAGATTTCTTCTGGCTGTGTATTTTCAAATTCTAGCGCACTCGAGCCGGTTTCTCCAAAATTACCTACCCCACCTTTAACCATTTATTTCGACAAAGTCACAAGCTATTTGCCATTACAATTTAACAACATTCAGAGATATACTTTCACTGACAAGAACAAATATAAAGAAACTATTTTAGGTCGGCTGCGGGATATTCATACTTCGCCTAAACTAGCATTCATTTTGTTTAACTGTTGAAACAGGCAGCAGTGGTAGGTTTTTGACTTTGCAGGTCCATTGGATCATCATTGGTCTCATTGCAGTCAAGGCAACATCCCAACCATAGACTTCAGGATAACCAATAGACAAGTGGGATCCCAAGCCTTTAACCTTTGCATTTTTCATTAATTATCTCAATAAAATCAGTCAGTTTTCACAGATCCCATCCAAAACAGAAATGACAAAAAAAAAATCTCACAATTAAGGAAAGCACACGTCCTATAAAAAGGTTTTAATTCTGAAAGGAGGACAAGATGACAAGAGCCAGGGGTACTAAATACAAATCATAGAGCAGTCCCACAGCGTGTTGGAAGGGTGTCAACATAAAATTGCATATTAATTATTTTAGAAAAATTAAAGCATACTCCATGTCACATTAGATTGTTGTAGTCTTAAAACAAGACAATTTCAAAGTCAGAAAAAAAAAAGCAGGTTAAACAATGCTAAACACTTCCTTTAAGTTACTATATGGGACAAGACATTCTGTTAGGGCCTCTGATAGTTCACACAGCTGTGCAACTGTTCCACTAATAAGAGGCATTGGTAACAGTATGTTACTGTATGTTGGTTTTACTCTACACTCCATAAGCTCAGTGGGTCATGCACTTCAGAGACGATCACTGCACATGCAATCATTTCTCATATGGAATCTATTGTATGCTGCGGTAAACATCTTAAACCTGTTAACTCAAACCGTTACCCTGCTCAACAATTTAAAATGATGGACAACACAGGCTTCATCACAGTTAAGATAATACACTAACTGACAAATCAAGCTCTTAATGAAAACACACTCTTCAGAATGTACCAAACCAGTAAAAAGAAAACAAAAAAAGACTCAAGATTTAACAATTTGTACATTCTAAAGCTGAACCAGGTTGATGACAAACATCAAGAGTGAGTGGAAAAAGTGAGAAAGCCAGTCGTTTTCAGGACATCTGGGATGGAGACAGCTGGGCCTTCCTCATGGATCGTAGGGCTTTCTCTCTTAGGTGCTTCTCCAGGTCGGCCAAGCTGTCCTCTACTTCACTATCTGATTCCTAAACGGAAAACAGCATGAAATACACGCAACTCCACTAGCCACTTGGACACAAACACAGAATGTTGGTTATATCTGTCCCGTTGAGCAATAGGCCTGGAAAGCTAAAAAACAAAGAAACTAGACATCACCTTTCTTGACTCTCCGTCCTCCGCGCCGTGGTTTTCATGTGCATCACCGGTCACAGCACTATTACTCTTCTCCTTCTTATGCTTCTTGTGCTTCTTGTGTTTCTTCTCTTTCTTGTGTTTCTTTTCCTTCTTCTTTTTCTTCTTCTTTCCACTGCCATCAACATCGGAATTCTGCAATGAAAAGGTTACAAGTATTTAAAGGTGAACAGTGCTACTAAAAACACCACAAACGATAAGAAAGAGATAATGAGAGCTAATATAACCAGAGTACACATCGTAACGTATCTGCATACTTAACTTCTCCAATAAGAACTAAAACACATTTAATAGTTGTTTTTTTTACTAAATGCAATCGTCCTTGAGTAAACTTAGAATATGTTTAATATTCAATACTCAAGTTATAAACCAGAAATATATGTCTATATATATATGCACAGCCAAACAGACAACCATATAAGTAAATAAGCTAAAATATCAAACCTTGCTTGGGGATTGGCTGCCGGAACCACTGCTGGCTTTCTTTGCTGGTGGTGGAGACCCACTGGCAGAGCGGGAGGGTGAGGGGGAGGCAGATGCAGGGACGGGACGTTTCAGAGCTGCTGGTTGAGGGGAAACAGATCTGGAGGCTGCTCTCCTCATGGGCTGGGGGCTCGGAGAGGGTCTTGGGAGAAGAAAAAAAAGGGAAGATTTAAAAAGGGTTGCAGGGCCATGCACAATACATGCTATATAGTACAAAGAGATAGAACAGCAGTATTCTGAATAAATAAATATTGAAAAATAAATTCAATGTTACCTCTTGTTGTTGCGTGGCTCTGGGGTGCGGGACACTCGGCGGATGGGTTTGCCGCTGTGTGTTGGGGACTGCTGCCTCCGCGGGTTAGATGGAGATGCACTGGAGTTTTCAAAACGTCCCTGAGGACTGGTGGAACACCGAACAGGGCGACCGCGGGTTGCGGGGGACGGGGAGAGGCGGCCAGCTGCTGCCACAGGGGATCGTGGGTCCCTGCTTAGTCGAGCAGAAGGCAACATGGGGCTCCTCCTGTGTCTGGGTGGAGATGAGGATGGAGACATGCGTCTCCTTTGAGGAGGGGAGTTTCTGCGCTTGGGGGACCTGGAGGGGCGTCGCTTGGCCCCTGGAGAAGAGCGCTTTGGGGGAGAGCTAGACATTTTCCTCTTCTGTGGGGGCAAAGGTGAGGGGCTGTAGCGACGCTGGATAGGGGGAGAATATCGTCTGGGGGATGGAGAACGACGACGGGGAGGCGGGGAAGGGGACCTGGGTAGGAACAAATGTAATTGTTACACTTTATTTTTTAAACCCGTAAAAATAATTTGACAAATTAAAGCTCTAGATATGATATAAAGCTGCACATACCTTCGTCTAGGAGGAGAAGGAGATCTGCGACGTCGTGGGGGAGACGGGGAGCGCCGTCTGCGTGGAGGAGATGGAGAGCGTCTTTTCCTGAAGGAGTACAAACGCAAACAAAATGTTATACATGTGGACAACGCTGAACATGGGCAACTTAAAAACATTTGATTCAACAATTAGTTCAAACATTTTGATAAAAATGTACAAAAACGTTGTCTTACCTTGGGGAGGCATCTCTGTGTCTCCTCCGTGGTGACGGTGTTCGGCTGCGTCTCCTCCTCACATCCCCGTTTTTGGCTCCCGGCCCTGCTGTCGGCCGCTTGGGCCCCTCGTTTTCAGAGGAAGAAGATCCTGAATCTAAAACCAAACAGACAAAGGACATCAACAACTGTTTAATTGTAGCCATAACTGTATGAAGTGAGGGGAAAAAAAGGGGGCACGGCTGCAAAAGTCCATGAGACGATGAGTGCAAGATGACATGGACAGAGCCTTTGTCAGATGGGGCTTTCACACAAACGCGGTTCCAGGGCCAGTTCGGAACTAGAGCCTGAAAAACACCGGTTTTTCCTGTTCACACCGCAGCGGAGCCGCCTCTAAGCTCCGGAATCCGGTTCGTTTCAAGCACCAAAAATGTTTCGGTCTAGAAGCAAGAACCGCATACGTCACGCTTACGTCGAACAAGGCGAGTACGGCAAATAAAAGTTGTAACAAGCGGTAGTGCTGAGCAAAGTGACTAGAACGCAACCACACACACGTAAAAATAAATAAAACACTTTATAAAGTCAGGCAACACTAACCGGGCATCCGTTCACTGTTATTGATCATTGTGGAGAGAGGCAGACATTTTGTTTTGTATTATAGCAGCTATCGGATGGAATCAATACATGAGCTGCACAGGTTGTCATATCCGACTATCAGTAGAATCATAATGAAAAATATGCTGGTAAAATGTGCCGGCTTATACCACAATAGGATAGCAACAAGTAGTCAAGATAGTCAGTTTAGCTTCGGTTGCTATGCTAACATCACCCATTTTATACCAGAGAAACTTTAATAACAGTGTTGTGATGCCAACAGCGTCAATTCAGACTGACACATTCACTTATGGGGAACTGGGGATATGTATCAGCTGCTTGTGTGACAGTCAGACAGTGAATACTTTACATCGGCCGCTGCCGTGTGAGCTAACCCGGAGCTAACGGGAGAATAAACCCCCGTGGAAGAGCAGCACTGCAGCGGTCGGCAAATGCCGCTGAAACACATTCATAAACAATGAACCACGGCACTCTGGAGAAAAGTATAAGGTTGGAGAAGTCGTTATTTAATTTAATCTGGCTTT